TACTTAGGAGGCTGAGGCAGGAGGATCGCTTGAGCCCAGGAGTTTGAGGTTGCTGTGAGCTAGGCTAACGCCACGGCACTCACTCTAGCCAGGGCGATAGCGTGAGACTCTGTCTCAAAAAAAAAATTTAAAAAAAAGTCCAGTGGTGGCAGAGATTACCATGGGGTGAGGAAAGCAGGCTAATTTGGTGGCACAAAGGCTAAGAAAAAAATAGGAGCTGATTTGGGCCTGAGAAGGTTCTGTGGAGCTGGCAGTAGAGAGAGCCCATTGGGAGTTCTCCAGCCCCTTCCATTTTCCCAGTCCTGTTCTGCTACTTCCAGACTCTTCTCTTTTCCTATTTTATTTCACTGGTGCCTCTCTGACTCTCAGACTGCGCCTCTCTTCCCAACTCCCCAGGCAGTTCCTCTTTGTGGTTGCCTTCACTACCTTCCTGGTCAGCTGTGTGGACTACGACATCCTATTTGCCAACAAGATGGTGAACCACAGTCTTCACCCCACTGAACCCGTCAAGGTCACTCTGCCAGACGCCTTTCTGCCTGCCCCAGTCTGTAGTGCCAGGTAAGGGCTGCAGGTCAGAGGACACTAGAGCCTGTAGTTCTGCTAGCAGATGTGGAATGGAATAGTGTATGAGGCAGCAACTCATACCCAAGAACACAGACTCAGGCTCAGCCTGGTGGAATCCTTCAGGACAGTAGCATGTCTGCCAAGACTCCTTCCTCAAGGGTCACCACCTCTTCCCCCTCTTTTTCCCCACCAGGATTCAGGAAAATGGTTCCCTTATCACCATCCTAGTCATTGCTGGTGTCTTTTGGATCCACCGGCTTATCAAGTTCATCTATAATATTTGCTGCTACTGGGAGATCCACTCCTTCTACCTGCATGCTCTGCGCATCCCCATGGTAAGACTGGGAAGTTGGGCAGTTAGCCCACCATCTAAGATATCATGGGAGGGATAGGTGTATTCGTGGGTATCAGGTGTCCTTATGTCATTGGCAAGTCAAGGAGCATCTCCTTAAAGGCTCCACTTAGCTAAGCACACGACCCCTGAGCCTCACTCTCATGCAGAGGAAGGTGTCGAGGCAATAACCCCACTTTCCATACCTTGTCTCTTCCCTCCCCACCCCACAGTCTGCTCTTCCATATTGCACATGGCAGGAAGTGCAGGCCCGGATTGTGCAGACCCAGAAAGAGCACCAGATCTGCATCCACAAACGTGAGCTGACAGAGCTGGACATCTACCACCGCATCCTCCGTTTCCAGAACTACATGGTGGCACTGGTTAACAAATCCCTCCTGCCTCTGCGCTTCCGCCTGCCTGGCCTTGGGGAGGTCGTCTTCTTCACCCG